TGTTTTCCACCGTCCCTCCAGGAGCCCCCACTAACCCTGGTGTTTTCCACCGTCCCTCCAGGAGCCCCCACTAACCCTGGTGTTGTTCCTTTCTGCCTTGAGCTCAGCAATTTCTTCCTCCCTTTCGAGGAGCTGTTCCCTGCATACGTTGAGTTCTTTCGTAAGTGCTGCAAATTCCTGGAAAACAGTAAAAAAACAAGATTCTGAGAAAGATTTCTGGCCCAAGTCTCCAGGCCTCACTCAAAGGAAATCCCTGGGGCCAGCGTACAATGGGCCTTGCGACCCTCCAGGGAAGGAGGGGACCAACCGACTTGCCTAAGACCCCGTGGATGTTGAGTGACACAGATTCTAGACTCAGATGCCCACCCTGGCGCCCACCCTGGGGACAAAGGTTAGCGTAGCCTGAAGGCATTAGATGTCAGACATCAGGGCGCGGAGAATCCTAGCCCGCTGTCCCCCAACTTTGAGAAGTATCCTAACATGAACTGGATAAAAACTCATAACCGTGTGTGCTAGAACTCCTAGGGGGGCAGAGCCCCCTCTCTGTGTCCAGCTCCTTGTCTTGGCTAAACCACCTCTTGAGAGTCCCTTGGGATCCTCCTGACGGTGCCCCACGGCCAATCACTTCACACAAAAATACTTCCTCAGTCAATGACATACAGTATAGCATTATCACCCAAGAGCTACAAACTGTCCCGACGTGCTCAAAACAAAGGCGAGCAACCAGGAGGCCAGAGAAGCTAGATCAATGGAAAGAGATCAAAGGGAATTAAAATAATGACATGCCAACACCGTAACCCATGACATGAAAACCGTAACCCATGACATGGGGCAGCGCATATAAACGGTGACAAGGGAACATAACTGGCTGCGTAGACTTTCACCCGAAAATATTTCACAGGAAACCATTCAAGGGAAAACACTAGCACGCAACGCCTTGCGTAGGAAGGGAAGATGTGAGCAGGCTTATGTGTCTGGTCAAGCAGACGCTTTCCTCCAGAACACTACTGCGGAAAATCCCTGCAGAGCCCCTCTCCCTTTGCACGCACAACCTGACCTCGTGGCCACAGGAAGCTCCCTCACACACACCCACGTGACACAAAAGATAAGCCTCAAGGCACATTCTCCTGCCAACTTTACCACGGAACAAACACCTCTGAAATCAACTAGAGGTGGCAGCTGCTACCAACATTTCCCTGTACTTTAAAGAGTGTTTTTTCTAAAGGACAGAACCCAGTGGCATCAACCCAATTGTGACTTCTGGGAAGTCTGCAGAACAGAACAGAGCTGTCCCTAGGGCTTCGGAGACCAGACAGCCTGGTCCTTCCACACAGCAACTGGTGGGTTCGAACTACTGGCCTTTGGGTTAGCAGCTGAGCGGTTTATCCACTGCATGCTCTCTTACGGATTCAAAAGATTTTAGGGTTCAAGATCCACGTGCAAATAATCAGCCATTCAAAATCAAAAAGAGAAGGCAGGAGATTCTAGGAAATCCACTTACAAACACATGGCATGCAAAAGTTCACTCATAAATCTACCCTTTGCCATGCCAAGCCAACTTTCTCACAGACGGGACACCCCCGTCCGAGTCTGATGAGCCCATAATCACCTATCTGAGCTGTGGTGCTGAGCTGAACAGTTTCCCTGGATGGCATGGCAAGAAGCCAACAGTGGAAAGGAACACCATGAAAAATGCTTCGTTTGTCTTCCATTCTAGTCTTTTTAGGAAAGGAAAACTGGGGCAGAGGTTGAGGGGAGGCGAGCACACCCTTTATTAGAGATATTACAGGGTTCTTGTGAGTATTTTGCATTATTGAAGTTCACTTCTCAACCAATAATTCTTCTGCAAGAATGTGGTGGGATGGAGCAAAGTAAGACCCAACGCACCCAACTGCTATGGAGTCTATGGCGTCGGCGCACAGGGATCCTGCAGGACAAGTGGCACTGCTCACAGAAACCCTCATGCGGAGATGCATCATGGAGAAGACAAGGCCCCTGGATTGACGCTGGTGTGTCCGCAGTGAGGTTCCTGGAGCCAGCACCCAGCGGGCAGCAGGAGGCAGTTCCCACCCCTCACTCAGAGGGCAGAGCTGCTTTCTGTCACTTTGTCCCCCACCCTGTGCTGCAAATCTAGGTGGGTTTGCTGAAAGAAGTTGTGCGTTCACAGTCTTGCGTGTGACCCAGCCATGGCTCTGACTGCACTCAGACTTGTGCTTCCTGTCTGTCTGGCGGGCTCCATGGATGACTGCATGGCCCTTTATAGCGTCACATGTGTGGATTTTTACCGGGTTTACCGATCTAATGGCTCCTCCAAGAGGCCTCCACACTGGATGTCTTCCAGTGTGCTGGCATGGAGGAATTTGGGATACAGACGCATCTTGGCCAGGGGGACTCATGCTGTTGATGCCCCTGCTAGGCCCCATTCAGACCAGGCTTGGCCCTGCTTGGGCTCCTGCTGTGTGGTCAGACTAGAAGTCTAGCAGGTCCCCAAAGGGAATGAGCGGTGGCTGGCGCATCCTTCAGAACCCCATCCACTCAGGAGGGTACGAGGGGAGACCTCACCTAAGGCCAGCTTCAGAGTGGGTCCAGTTCTGATTCCTGAACACTTTCGTCCTTACTGTCTCAACCACACAGGGTACAAAGCTCCCCTGGCCTGCGGGTTGGTAGGAGCCTCAGGTCTCCCTTGGCTGTGTGGGACCCAGGGTTAGGTCTCGGGTCTGAGCCCGTCTGTATTTAAATCCACTACTGCGCTGGGACAAGGAGCTCTGGTAGCGTAGTGGTTACGAATCGGGCTGCGAGCCTTAAGGTCAGCGGTTCGAAACTACCAGCCGCTCCGCGGGAGAAAGATGAGGCTTTCTACTCCCGTAAAGATTTACACCCTCGGAAACCCTGTACAGGGTCGCTATGGGTCGGACCTGACTCGATGGCACTTAACAACAACAACAACAACTGCGCTGGGACATGGGGGTGGGTCAGAGCCAAGTGCTGCGGCCATCATCACCAAGAGTCGTCAGCCATTCAGGACCCACCCAATCCCAGATCATGTCCCAGACAGGAAGGTTTACTTAATACCACGGAGCTGTGTGTGCGGGCAGCTGTGTCCTCCGGGAACTGTGTGCGTGGAGATATGCATATGTGGGGAGTTGTGTGTGCGTGGATCTGTGTGCGCAGGGAGCTCTGTACGCAGGGAGGTGTTTACACGGTGAGCTGCATGCACGGGATCGCTGCAATGGCATGGGTTTGTTAGATGTGAGGTGGCTTCAAAAAGTGGGTGGGAAAATTCAATGAAAAATGACAAAATTCTCCAACAAGCCTTCTGAACCCCCCTGGTCTACTTGACCATGGTACATTTAAAACCAAAGGAGCAGCAGTGTGCCGAGTCTGAGGCAACCACTGGTCCCCCAACGTGCTCCCGCAGGACAGACAGACAGACACACGTATACAGCTGCCCGGAGGCTAAAGGAGGAGGAAGGATGGCGGTCGGTAACTGCAACAGGTGTCTGCAGGGCTGGGCTGTGGGAGAGCACCTGAAGCGTCAGGTGAGGTAAGGCCCTTGTCTACTGCCCAGGAATGGTTCAGATGCATCCTGGGGGCTCCTGGGAGCAGGGCTGTAAGAGAAGGAAGAGTGAGGAATGGGTCCCGAGCCTTCACCTGGAGAGAAACTGGAGGGAGACAAGAAGAACAGACCTCAGGGCCCAGAGCCAAGGTTCGACACCCTCCCCCGGCCACTGTGCTGGGGAGTGCCTGGGGTCAGCAGGTAGTGAGCAGCGGCCATCTAGGGGGCAGCTAAGAGCCTCTTTCTATCTGGAGCAAACAAAGAGTGAAAAAGATCAAGACTCAAGGAGACGAGGAGGCCAAGGCTGAATGGAGCACGTGATTCTCCTGGCTTCAGGGTGTGGAGGGCGGACGTCGATGGTGCCCGGCTACCTCCGCTGACCGCAGTGAATGGAGCACGTGATTCGAAACAGTCCTGACAGAGCACTGTTCCACTGTGTGGCTCACAGTCGACGTCTGGTGAGTTCTTGCCAGGGACGCAATCACATGATGTGTCGCATTAGACAAATCTGCTGCACAAGACCTCTCTAAAGTGCTCAAGAGCACAGATGTCCGTTTGAGGACTACGGTGCGCCTGACCCAAGCCCTGGTGTTTGTAATTGCTTCACAGGCATGCAAAGTTGGACAGTGAATAAAGAAGACCTTAGACGAGCTGATGCACTTGAGTTACGGTACCGGAGTTACTGCTACTGGAGAGGATTAAAGTACCCTGGACTGCCAACGTTCCTTAGAAGTCAGGATGGTAAAACTCTGTCCCTCATACTTTATACATATAAGGAGGAGGGACCAGCCCCTGGAGAAGGACATCATGTTTAGTAAAGTGTAGGGGTCAGCAATTAAGAGAAAGACCCCCAATGGGCTCATCACACATAACAACAATTGTAAGGATAGCAGGGGACCGGGCAGTTGTGCCTAGGGTCACTACAAGTCAAAACCAACTAGACGGCACCTAACAACAACAACAACCACAATATGAACTGTTGGACAGAAAACCAAATCACAATGAACACTTCAAAGAAAGAAAAGACTTGGCCCAGGTATTTCCAGGAGCTGAAGCCGTCACCTGGGTCAGGTTCAGAAGACCTGAGGAGCTGGGCTCAGAGCAGCTATATGAAGGGGAGGCCAGAAAACCCCTGACGGGTGCAGGCCAAGCACGAGGCCACCCAGCAGATGTGGAGCAGGCTGACCTCAAGACAGGCCCGACCAGAGCCACCGGGCCCTGCTAACAGGCTGGACATGACGCCTGTGAGGAAGACAGAGTCCGGACGCTGCCAAGGGTTCTGGCAGGTGCAGGTGACGGATGGAGCCACTGCGGGCTGAGGAGGGAGAGACTGTGGGCATCTGATCCTTTGGTGACAATGAAGGATACAGAGAAGGCCCTACAAGAGGGAAGGCTGGTGACAAGGTGGAAGCCCAGGGCTGTAGGTCCCAGCAGGCCCCAAAGTGTTGCTTTGGATTAAGATGAAATTCCACTGCCTTCCCACAAAATGCTGACTTAACTCCAGGCAGGGAGGGAGGAGCCTTCAAAAATCAGGTGATGCACTGCCCACAAGACTCTTCTCAGAAACAAAGGACCCACGAGGCCCACCTCCATTCATGCACAAACCCCTTCATTTATATGC